AAAAGGCATTAGTAATGTCAATGTCCTCTGCATCAGATACTTACTATATCCGTATTTGTTCTCCAATCGCCGACACAAATACAAATATATATAATTTGATAAGGAAAACTCATATCCAATAGTCACTAAAATCAGATATGAATAGTGATATACGCAATGCAGATATATATGTCGACACAAATCATATACAAAAAAACAAGATAATATTGAAAAATTATAGTTCATATGATACAAGAGAGTTAAATTAATATGGTCATTCTATTTGAAAAGCTAAGATTAAATTTCTTAATCACCAAAATTTAGTCTTAAATTCATTAATCTAAAAATTAAAACAATTACAATTATATGATAAACATATATTATGACAATTCGAATGCTAATTCAAATATTTGAGTAGTGATATCCTATCAGATATATGTATTTAGTAACTATGTTAGTATCAATACCTATATGGATATATATCAAGGACATGGATCATTTTTTTTAAGTTTTCCATGAGGTGTCCCCACACCTTATTATGGATAAGACTAACTTCCACTTGTGCTTAGTGACTGGCGCTGACCCGATGGATGTTTTACATATTGGGAAATTCCAACACGGGACATCAATAATTTTTCACTCCCACCGAACTATTCTAAGGGGTTGTTTGGTTTGTTAAAAATGAGGCCTGAAACCCATTTCCTTCTTCTGACACAGAGTTCATGTCGAACATTTTATTTCCCTTCGTTTCTTTGTGCTTGTTTGCCAATATAATCCTTACTCAGATTGGCAATAGTTTCATTGTAACCAACTTTATGCGCATATGCTAGGAGTTGATTTTTGTTCCAGGTCATGTTGGGTATATCTTTGCAGTAAGGACACTTCCAATTTTCTTTTCAGTCTATAAATTTTGCAGCATTAGCTCTTAGCATAATTTCAGCTAATTTCATGATATCCCACATCTCATCTTGCTCTCGATTTGCATTCGTATAGGCAATTTATTCTTCAAAGGTTTGTTTATGTTTAGTAATCCTTCCATGCTGATAAAAAAACATTGTAAATTGACATTAAAATAAACAGCTCTATTTTTTATCATACAAATTTTAAATATTCTTACATTTGATGATGGTGCAGATGAACATAGTAAATTTCTGCTAATTTCATGATATCCCACATCTCATCTTGCTCTCGATTTGCATTCGTATAGGCAATCTATTCTTCAAAGGTTTGTTTATGTTTAGTAATCCTTCCATGCTGATAAAAAAACATAGTAAATTGACATTAAAATAAACAGCTCTATTTTTTATCATAAAAATTTTAAGTATTCTTACCTTTGATGATGGTGCAGATAAAGATTCATCAATATCTTTACTTTTTTTACTCATATTTTTTTATGGGTAGCATTTGTATGCAAACATTGTGTTTTATAGATATATATATGGTCTGGTACGTTTACTTGGTGGTTGGATGTTGAATCTGACAATATTTATTTGGATTAGTAAATTTTCTGTTGGTTTTTCCTATTGTTTTAAAAGCACTCATGGTTTTAAAACCTATCTGGTTTTGTTTCTTGTAGTACAATCTTAATTATCTACATGTTTGGTATTTCCAGGTTTGATGCGATTTTCCATGTCATATAGATATTTATGACTAATCATGTTGTTTATAGGTTTTTACAGGCCTCATAAGAAATTTTCGTTAATTCAGGTCTGTACTTCATAAAATTATGAATAATCATGTTATTATAGGTTTCATGTGATTTTTTCATGTCAAACAGGTATTTTTCATGTCAAATCAGGTATGTAGTTCATAACAATTATGATAATCATGCTATTACATGTTTCGTATGATTTTTTTTATGTTAATCAGATATTTATGATGAATTTGGTTATTTACTGGTTTTCATGTTATATTTGCGTTTTTAGTTTAATGTGATTACCTCCCCATAACGATCGCAATTAAATTTATCTTTGGTGAGTGGTAAATTTACCTTGGTGACCATATACACTTTTCTCTATATGCTTCATTATCAACCAAACACAAAAAAAGTGAAAATGTCTAATCAATAAAAGTTTTCCCCCTTTTTTGATACCAACCAAATACAAGAAAATTATATACATTGATTTCATATCATGCTTTATGTGTGAATCAAACTTAAACAATCTCTTTCTTGAAAAACTTTGAAAAACTCAAAACATGAATTTCTTTACATGGAATTGTGTTTCATAAAAAACAAGCCAAGCAGCCCCTAAAGAAACAACACGTCCCACATCATTTAAGATTTCTCATATGAGCCCCACCTCTTCCTTAATATGAAATCCAAACAAAAAACAAAAAAAAATAGGGAACCTCAATTTTACCCTGGGGGAGTGAATATGGTATATGTTAATCTAATCCGATATTAAGGCCAATTAAAAACTTATTAACAATCTATCCAAACAAGTATGATATTCAACAAGTTATGAGCAAGGGTATGTAATTAAACAAGGGCGAAATAAACATGAACACAAGATACAAATGAGATAGTGCACAAATGACAATCGCAAACACACAATATGATCACGGAGTTCGGTCACCATTGACCTACGTCTCCGCTCCCCACTCTTGAGGAGAATATCCACTATTTCAACCAGTTTTCATCGTTCACTGAAAACGTTTACAACTCACACAATCGGTTTTCTAGCTCACCGAAAACTTTCATAAGTTATACAATTGTAACTACACAATACACTCTCTAAATGTTGGCCTAGCCCGTGTCAACTTCTTCAAGTGCTTAGATTTACCATCTCTCCCTAGGCTTTACTACCAATGTCACTCCTATTAGAATTGACTCCGTCTTTTGCCAACCACTCCTCTCGATGTCCTTGTGTATTATAATGTGATCTCAACAATTAAGTACAAATGCAAAGTGTTTGCTCTCTAAACAAGATGAGAACTCAATTAAGCTCATAATTAAGGACTCACTCACCACAGTCCAAATTATACTTAATGTAAAATACTAAAATCTCAAAGGTTGTGTGTGTATTCAATGAGTAAAATGAAATGTAAATTTAATTTAAATTCTAGCTAAAAATATGATAATCAACAAAATATGTATATATAACTAGAGATTGAGTTTAGTGAAACTTCTCTGAAAACAAGAGTGAGAGAGGTTGAAATTGAAGCCCCAAAAGAATATAAATTGATCTCCTCCTCTTGTGAAACTCTCTTCACATAAACACTTGAAAAACACACTTGAAACACACTTAAAAATACTTGTAAACTTATTTTAAATCTTTCTTAGTTCATTGTAAGTGTTGAGGGCTGAAGGGTATTTATAGTTGCTCAAAACAATAGCCCACAACCCAAGAAAAATATCAAAAACCAAAATCTAAAAGAACTAGTCGTTATTACAATGGATTACTATTCGGTCGACCGCACTGTTCACCGACACTATTCACAGAATCTGAAACTTAAAAATCTGCATAGCTGACTTTATAAAATCAATTAAAAATAGTAAATCAACTCCAAAAATCATGATATTTTGAAGAAAGTTTCTAGACATATAGATAAACATTTTAGAGAAATAATTTCGGAAATATCATTTCCCATTTGTGATAAATAATTGTTTTAAAATAGATATTCCTGATTCTAAAAACTGCTAAAACACTTGAGTTTGTAAAATCAATTTACCATAGTAAATCAACTCCAAAAATGATAAAATTTTGGAAAATATTTGTAAACATGTAATATAACATGTTAGAAAAGGAACTTCTCAATTTTTATTTCTCATTTGTAAAAACTCATTTATTTTGCAAACTGTTAAATAATACGAAATCGTCAAAACTTGATTTTGATGAAATCAAATACAAACAAGTTTTGAAACACTTTTTAATAGATTAATAGACTTGAGAAAAGATATAAAATAGTATAAACAAGTCTTTAATCCATAAACATATTATTTTCCAAATAAAGATGATAAATATGAAATGAATATATATGTATATAAGTATATTGATTACTTTCATAGTTATACGGTTAAACTTGAAAATGATAAACTAAAAATATGTATACATACTAGTTTCATATTTATTTGATAAACTTGAAAGCTATAAAAACGAAAACGTGTATGTGTGTAATATTTGAGCTTTAGAGTATAACACACAAAGTATAAGATCTAAACTAGAAACAATATACCCAAGCTAAGAGATCTTCAATTAGGCTAGACTTGGTTGTGGATGAAGCGATATTGAATCTTGATTTGAATTGCACATAGCTTCATTCCGATATCCGCCAACCTCCTTTGAATGTCATTGTTATGCTCAATTCCAACCAATCTCCAACATCGATGTTTATCTAGAATATCTAATAAACAAATATAAGCATTAGACAAATGATGTTAGTGATTGTTGTAAATCATCAAAACAAGATTAGACCGTAAGCTTATAAACATGAGACCTAACACGTCCCGTATCATTTAAGATTTCTCATGTGAGCCCCACCTCTTCCTTGATATAAAATCCAAACAAAAAACAAAAACAAAAATAGGGAACCTCAATTTTAGTGCCCAGAGCCTACCTCCCCCCTTCCTCCCACTTTTATATTACAAAACAGTCTGAACTTTTCCCAAATAATTCACACACCTCTTTTGATCATTCTTTTCCTCCCTTTTTATTTAATATATAATGAACGAATCCCCCGTCACTTCCTCCACTCGCACCCGATGGCAACATCCTCAACTTCCGCCCTCTTCTTCTCCGCCCGTTCACTCTCGACCAAAAATTTAGTCCCACATCGGAAATCGCTCAAAATAATGAACTCTTCTTCAACTTCAACACCAGTCGCGATTAACCTCAGCTTCGACACCCTGAAGCAAACGTTTCCCGTCGACGTTAGTCAAGCAGAGGGCCGTCCTCTTGACGTCCCGTTAATTGCTCCCTTTACTATTGCTTCTTCGAAGCTTGACGCCGTTACTAACGTCGCCATTAAGATCGAGTTGAGGAATGGGTCGGTCGGTTGGGGCGAG